GAAGTGAGTTTCCTGCAAGAACAAGACACCTACCTTGTGTTTATGAAAATGATAGAGCACCTGACTTCGCTTTTGAGGAGTATTAAAGCCCCGCACATTAGGGTCGCTAATGCGATATGAGGGTTAGCCATCATGGGGGTCTAAGAAGCTCTATCACGTTATCATGTATATCCCCCCGAATTAAGGAAGGGAAGGGGAAGGGAGGGAACCTGAAGAGAAGAGACAGAAAAGCAGCGGATAGAAGAGAGGGGGGGAAAAAGTAACAGAAGGAAATAAGTGCTCTCCCGCCATCTAGTGGCGTATAGAGAGAACAGCATCGTGGTGGACCAAAGTATGGTCCAGTAAACACTACATACATTAAAAGAGCGTACTCACTGACAACCTAAGTGGGGGTAACATGGTAAGCGCAGGGAGCGGCTCCCGCTCCAGGGCATGTGAATATAATATGAACGAGGCAGCCTAAGGCTACAAAAAAAACCAGTAAGTAAGTAAGGCACATATAACAAAAGTAAACTATTGTAAAAATAACATGTTACAGTATGAACGACCGCAGCAATCTTGGTTAGCAACCATAACAAACATCCCATGTGGGGCACAGGGCATCAATCGGTGAACGGCAGGAGTCCATCAACCACCACAAAAAAGCGTCCCCTCCGAGACACTAGGAATGAAGAAATGTGGAGGCGAGTGAGGCAGCAGTCAAATGTTGGAGGAGGACGAGGCCTCCGTCCGCCCGACAGATTTTCTTCACTTCTGCAGCCATGGTGGGGGCGATACAAAGCCAGGGAGGGTCGGTTTGAGCGGCCAGTCCGGCAGAGCGACCTGAGGGAGCTCCAGCTTGCCTAGGAAGGATAGAAGGTCACCCATTGAGTGGAAAACAGCCGATTTGCCGTCATGCACAACAATAAGCTGAAAGGGGAAACCCCATCGGTATTTGATGTTGCGTTGGCGGAGCAGGTCAAGTAGGGGACGCAGTGCCCTGCGAAGAGTAAGCGTGTGACCTGAGAGATCCGGTAATAGGAGTACAGGGGATCCTGCATATGACATCTCTGGGGCTGGAGCGATGGACGTTTAGCTCCCAGCGCTCTATGAATCCTGTTCACTTCTATGGGGGATTCCTTAGGCTTATTCAGGATCTGATTAAAGAGTGCAATCGTGGCAGTTTCTAAGTCCTTGGATTCAACAGACTCTAGAAGGCCCCTGATGCGAATATTATTGCGTCAGTTTCTGTTCTCCTGGTCATCTTGCTGATATAGCAATTGATGAAGTAACACGGTGTGTTCTTGCAAAGTAGTATCATGCAAGTGTATCCGGGCACGCAATTCAGAGGAGGATTGCTCGATATGTTCCAGTCTGGAGCTTAAGTCCCTCTTTAAGGTGGACATTTCCCTTTTATAAGTGGTTTCAAAGCATGAGAAGCAGGATTCAATGTCTTTCATGGTAGGCATGGCTTTAATGTATGCTTCCATGTCCCATCCCTCCTGTGAGCTGAGGGAGGCCTGGGACATGCTTCTGGAGCGGTGGGAGAGTCCCCCTGAGCTATGGGGAGAGTGTCCCTCCTGTGGCTGGCTCACCTGTTCCAGATCAGGAGCCTCTGAGTGTGCTGGAGAGAACTCCAGCGGCGCCATGTTGGCTGCACGTGTGGAGGCAGAGTGAGAGGCCGGGGGTGCCGTCCGGGTGAAAAAACGGGTAAATTACCGTGATGCGAGACCCGCTCGCGGCTGCTTCTTCTCTTTTTTCCTCCGGTTACTCATTGCCTGTGATCCGGGCGAAAAACAGCTGCTGTCGGCTGTGTAAAGTGCCCTATGAGCGGGAGACGAGCCGATACACGCCTCACCGCTCCATATGTTTAGACCGACTCTGTAATGCCCCTTATTTTAATATTATTGCGACGTCACCTGTCCTCCAGATCAGCCACTTTGGATTTCAGCCATGTTATATGGTCTTCCCTGTCATTGTGTGAATCCACAAGCTCATTGAAGGTGGATGCAAATTCTCCCATCTTTTTTTCAACATGGGAAACCCTGTTGCCCATCTCCTGTAGGTCAGTTTTAATTTGTTGCACTAAAGACTGCATATCTGTGTGAAGCGAACTTCGCAAGGACACTAGCATGTTTCAGGGTAGTATCTGAGAGAGGCTAACTGCTAGTAGGGTAATTGTTGATTCGTGTGAATAGCTCCCTGGTGTCTTCTAAGGAGTGGTGGGAAAGGCTCACCTTGTGAAGTAGGCCCGAAAGGCAGGGCCTTGATTTTGCAGGGCTCCGCGCGGTGAGGGTAGCAGGAGACGAGGCCTCCAACGGTGTGGAGCGGGTCTGGAGAGCTTCTGACCTGTCTCCCCTATGCGAGTGGAGAGATGTAGCCGATTCCTCAGAGCCCTGAGAGGGAGACAGGGAGGGAGAAGACCATCATGGAATGTCTGGGCTTTAGATGGCTGGAAGAAGTCTGACACCTTTTCGTGGATGGGAGCCGCCTTTGCATCTGCGGGACATGACCGTCGAAGTAGCTTGCTGATGCCGGTAAGGAAAGGAGCCAAAATCGTGCTCGCTAGTCGTTGTGTGATAGTCCCGGGCCTGTGTGGACATGGAGCTCCGGGATTATGTGTCTATCAGGCTCTCTAGTTGGCCACTCCCCCCTCAGTTTAAAAATTTTAAGCCCTGGTGTTAGTATTTAGTATAGGGGCATTTTCACGAGTACTGGTGTACTTTGTTTTTGTTTTCCTCTGCATGTGGCTACATATAAAGAATTTTAAAGAGTACTCCTTATATAAAATTTTGCAAACAGCACATTATTTAATGGGGATCTTTGCCTTCTTGCAAGGAAGGTAAACCTCAGAATCATCACCTTCACTTAGTAAATCTTCATAATCCATGTCTGACTCTACAGAAATCTCGAGTTCTAAAGTGTCTAAAAGTTCTTCATCAGAAATATCTGATGACAACAGGGAAAGATAGCAAACATTGTGATTTTGCATTCAGTCCAAAATAATTTTTCTCAGGTGTATGGCATGTTATAGTAGCAATCTATGACAAGTTCAAGAAGAAAGATCCCCAACGATAGTGAAATACTCTGTAATCAAAGTAAAAGAGTGTAATGGTTGTCCAGCTGTACAGCTTACTGAAACTCCTCTGAGGAAAACTCTAGCCCCACTTGTTATTTCTATGAAATAACGTAGGAGCAGCACAACGTAGGAGCAGTCTTTTAAAATGGTTGCCACATCCACGTTACTATGAAAACACAGTCCTGTGGCTTAGTAATAAGGCTTAGTTATAAATGTAGTTTTCAAACCTGATT